CAAACTTTCGGGACTTTTAATCACATACGCGTGCTCGGTTTCCTATATTTTAAAATTGATTTTTGAGTATGTTCCAACAATGACAAAAAATTCACGAAAAATGCCCACGAACTGCATCTCTACTTAAGTCAATAATTACAATACTCACCACGCCTTCATATGGATAAGATTCTTCACTGTCTATACCATTATTGACTTTTACATATTCAAATGCTTGATCCATTGAACCACCATTGCATCCAGCATTACCCTGTGTTGTGGAACAGTCTACCAAATTCTGTTCACTCAGATCTGGTAGTTTACCAGTTTTCTTGAATATCTGACCTTCCAAAGCCCCAGTAGCACTGAATGACCAACAAGATCTACACTTACCCTACACAAATTAAAAAAAACGAAACAAAATTAATAAAACTTCAACCAGTCAATTTCGTTCATCTGAACTGAATTACAAACAATGCGATTCGAATCTGATGGGTTGGTTATTAACAGTCTTGTGTTAAAATTGATCGAGTGATGCGAGATTGCCTTTAAGCTTACGTTTGCCATGCACTCTGAAATGAAATTAATGTGAGTTTTCTCATAAAAGCACGTACCAAACTACCATGCCAATCACGATTATTATGAAATGAAACACTTTTTACACGCATATTTTAAAGAATATCGTCGACACCCAGTAAAAACACTTTGGGCTTATAATCGTGAATGCCCTCAACTCGATAAATACCTAGTAAAAATAGAGGGATGGGCTTCATACTCGGAAGGGGCTTACGATCGGGGAAGTACGGTACTTTAACGCAATTGGGCTCCCACTCTCAGAATACTGTGGTTCAAATGAATAATGCTCTAACCCAAGTTCTAAAAAGCACACTGTGCATATAAAAATTGAGTTTATACTAGTAGTACACAATGCTTGGCAGAATGAACGGCTATGTACAATGGCGTATACGAATGTGATCAGATACTAAAACGTCATAGCTTTGAAAAGTACCCGGATGTTAAATATGTTCGTTCGTTATTTATTCCCCTCCATGAATGGCCTCCATGGTGTTAAATTGCAAGGACTTCAAATGCCTATCCAAGCTACAGTTATAAATTAAACCATTGCAATATTATTTCGAATACAGTTTAGAATATACACAACCATAAATTAAGGCCGCATTTAGGTTCGCTTTAAAAATATGGGAAACTGACAAAAAGATGGATAAAAAAAGCAATTGTTTTAATACTGAAACTATTTTAGCTGGAATTAATTTTCGCTAAAAAGACGAAAAAAATGGGGAAAGTCATATTTGTTGGATTTTATATTTTCACTGAATCATCCCTTCAGCAAAATTTTTCCAGTATTCATAATTATGCTTGTACAAGTAATCTAAACCAGGCGTTGCTTTTTGAAATTTCCCTTCTGAACAAGATAATGCGAGTAATTAAGGAAACTTAAAATCTACTGAAAAGTGTTATGGATTGCGAGTGACAATAACTTCCCCTGGGTCTTGATTTTGGCAAATGATACACAAAGCAAGTAGTAAGCTGTGTAAAATGCATACTGTGTCAAGCGGCAATCTGGATAACTAGTCTATACTTTGATAACAAAATTGGGGCATGCTTTATAAAAAAAAAAATATTACCACTCATTAACACTATTACTCATTAAATGAAATATTGAAAATTTGTTTTAATCACTTGTCTAAATAAATACTTGCTCCCAAAACATTTATAATACACAAGACATGGCTAGTTTCTCTGAAGATGCACAATCAAAGTTAATTAAACTTGGTTAAAAATACTCAACATGTGCAAGTATGGCCTTACCTGATCTTTAACTTCTGTGACGTAA